CCTTAGCTTCCTATGAGTTCAGGTTTCTATCTGCTAGATTTTTGGGGTTTTTTTGCGGAACCAGGAATTGAACCTCAATGAAACCACTTCCTTTGACTACTGTTAACTGTGCCCATGGCGCGAAGGTTTGTGGGAGGAAAAGTCAGCGGGATGGTGCAAAGCAAGGGCTTTTGAGTGGCCAGATGACCACTGGTTCTGCCACACACTACAGCTGTGTAACCTGGAGCAAATTACCTGACCTCTGCTATCCTGCTTTGCCATCTACAGTACCAGCCTCACGAGTGCTGTGAAGAATAAACAGACATATTTATGTATATAGATACGTGTGTGTGTGTGTGTGTGTGTGTGTGTGCGCAAAATACCGCCCATCCTACAGGAAACGCTAAGCGGCAGCGAGAACTGTTGTGTAACACCAAGGCCCGAGCAGCACAGGGCCATTCCCCGCCACCACCAGCACTGAGCTGTGCGTGTGAGCACAGTGCCACCAGCTGGCACTGCACCTGCCAAAGCAAGAGCCTCCAGGCATCCCTGTGGCTGGTGTCCTTGCATATATTAGTAACACTCCGCCCTCACCTTCTCTAATCTGCCAGGAAAGAAAAATGTAGCTGTGAAGGCTTGTGGTAAAAGCAGTGGAAAGTATGGGCTCCTTTAGCTGGGGCTGATTCTGGAGCGACCTGATCTGCCCTGCCTTGGGTCCTGCCTCCTCTCCTCTGCCGCCCTCGCTCCCCACCGTGTCTCAGGAATCCTTCTCCCCCGGGCCCGCTCGTTGCTGCCACTCCTGCCATGAAACAGTTCACAACACCCCTATCTTTGCTGCAGGATGTTTGTGATGCAACAGGTTCCCAACAGCAACCTTCTCCTGTTGGTGACAGACCCCACCTGCGACTGCAGTGTCTTCCCTCCAGTCCTGCAAGAGGCAACCGAAGTCAAATATATCCTACTGTCCCGCAGAGGGGGGAGGCTGCGGACGCTGGGAGGAGGCTCCCAATTCGCATGCTGAGGCCAGCTTCCCGCACCTGTCCTTCCCCGCCCACTGAACCCCTAGGGTGCTGTCCCCAGTCCCTGAAGCTACTCACAAAGCAGCTGGCACTGCCAGGGTGGGGTGGGGGGTTGGTTCCTCCAATCCTAGGTCTCCAGAATCAGCTGGAGTCCCAAGTGGTGCACCTTGACTATGAGTTGTGTACATAATGCCTCAGTCAAGTGTGACCGGATGCGCTCCCAGAAGCCCCGCCGGCGACCGGACTCCTGCCATGCCTTCCATCCAGAGGTGAGGGGCAGGCAGGCCGAGGAGTGGGGCCTGGTCTCCACCCCCGAATTCTCTATGCCACTGTGCACCTCCCTGGGAAAGTCACACAC